CAAGTCTGAAAGGAAGACCAACATACAGGTTTATAACAAAATTGCAGACCTTCGCAAATACAGCCCAGCATTTTAAATGTAAGGAAATCCAAATTAAAAACGAGCGGGAATAAGGGAGGCTTTTTTGTAAGAGCTTTACTTTATAGTTTAAATAGATAGATACAGATCATGTTCCCATTACAGGACTTTATAAGTGATGAAAGATCAAAAAGTTTAAAAGTATATGGTCCAACATTTGAAGGGCATAATAGTATTTCGATGATAAATGAAATATTTTAGGAGAGTGTATTTCGCATAAATCTGCTTAGGTTATTGCAAAGGAGCCAAACAACCAAAATGGCATTCAAGGTTAAACGAACATAAGAATGAAGAGAAATGAGATATAGTTGAATGGAAGTGGTTAAGAGGGGAATGGAGGCTGCTTTGTGGACTAAAATAAAGATTTCTTTTAAATGGATGAGTCCATCGATGAGTATATAAAACTCATGAAAAATAATGGAGAACGCAATTTTAATTGAAGAACAGACGATATTGTGTGTTGTACCTAACGCGTATAGTCAGAGCAGAGTCTGGTAAAGATGAAGTCAATAAAACTGAATAAGCCTGGCGTGTTTACATCGTCATATTGATGTTCTAAAAATTGCATATAAAGCAAAGTATTCTATGGTTTTGATCTGACCGCCTTCTCGTAACTAGGTCAAGGTGACAATGAGACCTTGTGGAAAGTATCTAATCCTGCTTCCTCTGCCATAGTAGTCATAATACCCATGGCTAGGTACGGTCCACAAAGTTTTCCCGTCACTCCGTAAGGGTTGCGAAGACGAGGTCAAACTAACACCATACAGTTAAAGGTGACTGAGATCAAACAAAAGGCCACACCATCCTTGTCTTCCTATTTACCAAGTATTCTATGGTTGAATTCAGGCTGTAGTTAAGCTCAAAAGGGGAGCAGAAGTGAACCATTACGACCAAATACAGCATCCTTCACAAGGTATCATGGAAAAATCATATTCTTAATATGAAGATTCCCTCAGTGAAGTGATGCTGGCATACCTTTCATTTTATTTGAAAAGGAAAGTGGAAGGGATTCATAAATTGATCTCAGTAGATATCGAACGAAGGCTATCTTGGACTTATGACTATTTTATTGTGCGTAGATTGTATTTTTTGGTGATTGTTAGTAAATAATGGTTTTTGCTCTGATGTAGCCTGTCACATGACGAGCGAAAGCTCAGTACGGAGTCATCGGGGTTGCATGAAGGTGAGCCGAGGTCTTCCTTATATAATCCAATAGTCACAAGTCCAGAGCAACCTTCCGGTGGAACCAATTTAGGAGTCCCTTCCACCCGCCTCTTCAAACGAAATGAAAAATATGCTAGTATATTCTTTATATCGTAGAAATTTAAAAGATTAATTTTTATTATTAAGCTTCAACAGACATCATTTTTTCACTAAAAATGATTAAAAAGTAATTATATAAACATCTAGCCTCTGCATATTTAGTAAATATTTTCAGCTCAGTTAAATGAATTGGCTTCTGGTGAGGTCAACTTAAGAATCCCTTTAACTCGCCTTTTCAAATGAAATGAGAGGTGCTCCAATATAAATCTATTAAGGGAGTCTTCGGAACCCAGTTTTTCTACATATCTATGAATGACAAATAATTTTTATCAAAGACAGAAACAAAAATGCAGGCCATAAGAGGACGTATTAAAAATCAAATGAAGCCTCGGCGTATAGTATTATTATGACCAGTTGAAATAAATGGAAGAAACAGACCAAAAAATAAGGAATTTAAGTTAATTAAGATATTAGTCAATATCATATCAATTACAGAGCCCAAGAATATGGGAATGGCTGGAAGCATAGCAACGGCCCTTTTGGTCTGATACCTAGAGAATATAACAGGGTAAAAAAAGAAAAATCTGAACGTATTTTCAATTTGATTGCGCTGGTATACTTCAATGGGATACCAATATCTGCCTCGATTTGTTGCCCCATCCAGTCTATAGCTAAGAATATTCCCCAGGACAGATAAAGAACTCTCGTGCTACGCAATGTGAAACCATGCTCAGGCCAAAATGTGAACTAGACAATATAAGAGTAGGGTCTACTAAAAATCATTCTCATGTACCTAAAATTTTAATCTATATAAGTTTATTTTGATACATCCTAAATAAATGGTCCTTCAGTACATCGGGCAATACTGGTGACACTAGAGCAGTGAATGTAAGAAAATGACTTAAACTTGCCTAGCCATGTGCACTCTGAAGCCGAGAGTTGGAAGTTCATCAGCAGCAATCCACTGAGTTAGCTGGTGCATTTCGGATACTTCATCCAATCGTTTTTGAGGAAAACTGGCCTCTGTGTATTCAAAGTCAAGAGAGACGCGAGTTCCATCACGGCACTTGCCCTATAAATTGAAAAAGAGGAGGAAAATGGATATCACGTTTTCCTAAATCATAAAGCAACAGAATAAAAATGGAAAGTTGTGCTTGAAAAAACGGCAAAACTTATGACGCGTTATGTAGTTCGAGGCGTCTCACCAACTCAATATAGTCATATTAAGTGAAATTCGAAGAAATAAGACAAGAAATTAATATTGAAGTCATATGAATGTACTTTTAAGGATCTTACTCGTGGTATTTTGCTTTAAA